GCAGCAGCAGCAGGAGGAGCAGCAGCAACAGCAGCAGCAGCAGCAGGAGCAGCAGCAGCAGGAGCACCGCCACCACCACCACCACCAGCACCACCACCACCTGCAGCACCACCACCACCAGCAGCAGCAGCGCCACCACCACCACCAGCAGCACCAGCAGCAGCAGCGCCACCACCACCACCAGCAGCACCAGCAGCAGCAGCAGCAGCAGCAGCAGCAGTTTGTGCGTTGAGTAGTTTATCTGCTCTTTTTTTTACATCTAGGGACTGCAGCAGCAGCAGCAGCTGCGAGTGCTTCGATGACAACAACCCCACCACCCCCTCCTCCCGCATGCGGGGGAAACAGCCAGAGTTTAGCTGCTCCCCTACACGACAGTTTGCTGCTGCTGCTGCTGCTGCAGCACGAGGATACACCAGAGATGGATGCGCACCCATTGCTGCTGCTCCTGCTGCTGCTGCTGCTGCTGCTGTTGCTGCTGTTGTTGTTGTTGGTGGTGCTGCTGCTGATACTGTTGATGCTGCTGTTGCTGTTGCTGCTGCTGTTGATGCTGCTGCTGTTGCTGCTGCAGCTGTTGCTGCTGCTGCTGCTGTCGGCGCCGCTGTTGGTGTTGTTACTGCTGCTGTTGCTGCTGATGCTGCTGTTGCTGTCGCTGCTGCTGTCGCTGCTGCTGCTGTTGCGGTTGTTGCCGCTGCTGTCGCTGTTGCTGCTGCTGTCTCTGTTGCTGCTGCTGCTGCTGCTGCTGTGGTGTTGCTGCTGTGCTGCAGCAGCAGGGGGGGTCAGGAGCTGCTGCAGCAGCCTAAAGAAAAAAAAGACAAAAAAAAACAAAAAAAAATAAAAGTTTATGGTGGATGTACAGCAGAGCAGCGCGGATGTATGCTGCTGGTGCACTGTGGTTCTCAGCAGCAGCAGCAGCAGCAGCAGCAGCAGCAGCAGCAGCAGCAGCAGGAGAATGAAGGGGTTGTTTTAGAGAGAACAAATGAAATATATATTAAAAAAAAATATATTAAAACAATAAAAACAATAAAAAATTAAAAAAAATATAAATAAACATAAAACATGCAGCAACAAAACACCACCACCGACTAGCTGGGGAGTTGCTGCTGAGCAGCAGCAGCAGCAGCAGCAGCAGCAGCAACAGCAGCAGCAGCAGCAGTGGTAGAGGAATAAAAATAAAGAAAGAGTTTTATATTTATTTATTAAATAAATTTATTTATTTTATTTTTTTTATTTTTTTATTTATATTATAAATACACCTAAACACGCAGCCTGCTGGGGGCCCCCTGGGGGCCTCCACGCAGCATCGACAGCCCCCAAACCCTAAACCCTAAACCCTAAACCCTAAACCCTAAACCCTAAACCCTAAACCCTAAACCCTAGATATTAGGAGATATTTTTTAGTGTAAATAGAACAAAACAATTATATTAATCAAT